GGACACATTAAACATCAATATGAAAAAATAAACATTGTTCAGATTTTGTTTCTTAATTTAGAATCTTGGTCTTTGCGACAACGCAATGAATAGCTGTAATTAAAACATAAGCATTCATTTTTATTAAAGCCATATTTAAAGCTCCATAGGAACACAGAGTACAGACATATGGAGGGACACAGACAGAGAAAAAAAATGTCCTCTAACTGTCCCACTTTTCACTGAGCATCACTCAGGGGACTGCAACAGGATCCTGGTTAGGCAGGGTGGAGTGTGTGGGTGGGTGTGTATGAGGAGGTGGGGGATAGGGTGTGTGCTTCTTCTGTTAYATCCATGTGCCTGTCTCCTGTTTGACAATAAAAAGAGACTGAAAAAGATGCATCAATTTTTTTTGACAATTAAAAACCAATGGAACACAGTTTCTATTAAATAATCAAACTCATCTGTATCCATCAAATTCTCCCAAACTGAAAACACATACCAATACCCTAATGCGGAAACATTCACAGCAATGATCTTGACTTGATAATGTACCGCCACGTTCCCTTTTAAATAATTGACTTGTGTATAATTGGCTTAGGCAGCGTGCATTTCCATCCAAGGAGCTGCGCAAAATCCTTTGTCTCATTATGCATTAACTGAAACCACTCATCAGTCTCCCCTCAATCCACCAGCCATCTGCTGCTCGGGCCGATCCAAGTCCATCCAGCAGCCAGCTGACTCACAGACAGCTTCTGAAGATCTGATACACCTGAAAACCTGCCTGCTGGCTGAGCAGACACATTATCGGTCCTTTCTGAGGGAAGAGATGCACTTCAGTGCTTCGCTTTGGGGAAACCCTTCTTCAAAACGTGTGTGTGTGGGTGTGTGTGTGTGGACTCGTGAATACAGGCATTGTTTGATGGCAGTGGGCTGCAGGAGGACAGTCTGCGTCTGCAGACGCTGAGGAGGAGGAGGAGGAGGAGGAGGAGGAGGGGAAAAGATGGGAGAGGAGGTGTGTGAGTGGGTCGGGTTATCAGGGTGATTTATGGGGGGTCAGACAGGAGAATGAAATAAAAAAAAGAAAAAAGAAAATCACAGAATCATACTCGGCATGGAAAAAAACACAACTGTTGATGCCGATTTCATGACAGACATTCAGAAATTTTAATAAAACCCTGTTGATGATATTCCAGCATGGATAGCAACACATTCCCATTTAAGTGGCATGATTTAACACAAACCTGCATATGTTCACCGGCAGTAAATGCTGTAGATTGAGTTCCCCTGGGCTGTGATTTGTGGTGCATGCCCACAGAAACTGTGCTGTTGTCAGGGTATGTGCTAATGGTCTGTCTAATGCAGGAAGAAAGATTGAATTGTTGACTGCATGGCTGGTTACACACAGSCTTGATTTAGGATGACAGGAGGACTGTTAAAAGTGTTGCTAGAGCTCTCAAGCACCTGGCCTCCTGGGTCCATATGGRGGGCCACAGGCCATATGGACCACATGTCCAAACTGTAGCGGAAGACGTACTTACTGTTCCTTAGCAAACATGTATTTGTTATTTTAACATTGATGTTCAAAATGGATTCAAAGTTGTCAATGTGTATGCACTTGTATCATTTTAAGATCAGCAATATTTTAACACCACAGTTCAATTTGAAGCTCCATGATGTTTTTCTACTATTTAATGAAAAGAAAAATGAAAGAAGCACAAACGGTTGGGTCTATGTCTCCTTAAATAACAAATAAGCCACATGTTGAAAACAATTGTTAAACTATTACCTTTAAACATCCAATTATATTTTTGTTCAGAGAAAGTTGTGATTTTGAGGTGATAGATATGTTTGTGAAATCTAAATTTAATTTGAAGGAGCGGTGTACTTTAAAGAGGGATTTTAAAAATGCTGAATCAATGTGTGTGTATTTAAGAGAATGATAAAAGTCAGTTTGTTAAAGAAATATGAAACAGTATAATATGTATCTATACGGATTGTTGTTCGAGAAGGATTTGATGTTTTCGTTATTTGAAAATTATTATCAATTAAATTTATTTTTTGGGAAAAATGGGCAGATATAAGATTTTTTCTTCTTTCTGCTGCCTTTCATTTTATTTTTGATTTGTATTTTTATTGTATATAGAATTGATTTAGATTTTTAAGGAAATTAATAAAGTTAATAAACTAATCTAAATAATCAACCTCTTCAACACAGTAATACAGTAACAC